CAGAATCAAGCCCAGCCCTGGGTGGTGGCAGTGGAAACCCCAGGCTAGTGGGTGTGCTCCAGGAAGGGGGTCAGCCAGATGTGAAGCACCCCCAGGGAGGCACTCAGAGCCTGGAAGGTGGTGGGGCACAGTGAGGTGAGTGGCTCAATACAGGAGCGCCCCCTACCAGCCTGCTACAGGGCAGACAGCAGAAATGCATGTAGTAGGGCATCTATGGGGGAACAAAGTACAGGGGTCAGGCTGCCTACCCCTCTGGTTGGGAACAAATTTCTGATGACCCTCCAATAATTAGATTCTACAAATAAAAAAGTATTATAAATTTACAATTTTCCATTTATATAATCTAATTATTGTGGGGGTGGTAGTCATCTTAAACTTGAAGTCATCTTGGATTCAAGTAAATACAGTACATCTTTTCAGAAAACTGACTACTGTCTGTCAGAATTATGCATTCAAAACTTCTCATAAGATAAGAATTTACAGAATATATACCAGAAATAGAGAGTGTATATGTATTAGGCCTGCACGAAGTGGCTAATATTCAGTTCGGATTTGGCTGATTTTTGGGGGACAGTGATTCGATTTGGTGATGTGAATCACTGTCCCGATTCGATTTGGTCAAATCTGATTCAGAGATTCAGCTGTTGACCCATCCCCCGCCTGCTCTCCCAGCCCAGCAATGGCTGCCCTGCCTGCCCCAGCTCCCCCATGGCAGAGACCCCCATGCATCATGGAGCAGTGGGGGTCAGCAGAGATTGCCCCCCCCACCCAGAAGCACCCAGTAAGCACTGGGCTTTTTCTTTTTAAAGTACTGAGCTGGGATGGGTGGGGCAGCCATGGGGAGGCTGAGGGAGCGGGTTGGGGGGGGTTGGCAGGGGTCCCCTCATGGTCCCTTCCCCCAGCACCCCCTCCCCTGCCCCTAGGACTTACCAGTTCGGAGTTTCGGAGAGCTTTGATTCGATTCAGACCTTTCAATTGGTCCCCTGATTTGATTCAGATTCAGCCATCGAATAGGGCTGAATGTCCTCCGAATTGAATCACCACCTGAAGCTTTGCACAGCCCTAATATGTATGTGTTTGTGTGATATATAGAATATTAAATTATACAGGAGTGTGTATACACACACACACACACACACACACACACACACCCCTTACTAGATTGTGGCCAACAGGTCAGGTGACATTGCTCTGCCTGTTTCTTCCATTTCTCTTGCCTATCCCTTTCCTTCACCCATTTTAAATCTCTCTTCCTCTTCCCCTTGCTCTTAGTCTACTTTTGATATTCCACCTACATCAGTAACTGTATTGCTGGTTTATTTTGCAATACCCTGAGGTTTTGAACATGGTAACAGATGCATCAGTTACCAGACTATAAACCGTGGTGAGAGGGGAATGCAGAGTTGACACAATTTGAAAGACTAGCTTTGACAGGCCAATAAAAAGTTCCCATTCTTAATTCATAATAAACTATTAATTAACATGTGAGAACCCAGATACTGAGGCAAAGCAGTTAATCTGGGCTGAACGTTAGTTTACATTCTGAACCCAAGGAAATATAGGGACTAACATACATTGCAGATTAACGCAGCACTTCTGTTATGTTTTTTATATCAAGCACGTTATGTAACTTTTGGCTTATTCTTCAAGAGCCAATACTAAGGTTCATATCTTCTTCAGAAGATGGTTAATGGATTTAAATCCAGAATAACAATCTCCACTATGAGTAGATTGTTCTACATAACCTTCATCGAGGCTTCATCATTACAGCTATGGCCTCTTTCAGAAAAGAAAGAAAATAGCAACAGAGGCTAAAAACGTTCACTTCAGTTCCAGGAGCCACTGACAGCTGTTCAGTTAACCAAACAGCTTTCCCACATGAAGTCCCTTAGTTGCTCCACACTCCTTCAGGGGGACGCCACTGCAACTTTAAGAGCGGTGTCAGGACCTCATTAAATGGTCTGCTACCCATCCCACAGCAATGAGGCACACTTCAAAAATGTCCCTGACTCATCAGCATATGTACAGCTGAGGCATTTCACAATAATCCACTCGACTGAAGGTTCACATTTTTACCCATGAAGGTACCACATGACCCATAGATTTTCCTGCCAGCTACAGAGCTAGTCAGAAGAGTTACTCTTGAGTTAGTTTATCCTGATTACCCCCCTGACAAGAACAAAGATAGTCAAGTAGAAGATTTTGATCTAGTAGAAGATTTTGATCTAATACTTCCAGGATATCTTGGCTATGATTATCTAAGAGCCAAGTCAACCTACAGTACAAGGCACCTGAATTATTTATTTATTTAGGAACCTATCTGGAGAACACGCAAAACTCCCGGGTGTTCAGGACAGTGCATCTGTTTCACCCAGACGGTTGGCTGCATTCTTTGCCTGATATTAATACCAGAGACAATTTAGTAACATAACCACTAGCATGAGAAGTCTGGCTTCTAGAAAAACAGATGGCACGGGCTCTCTCAGGTTAATTATAGGCTTCAGAAATTGTTCACGTTAGTCAGCAATGCAATAAGATTAGCTAAAAGAAAGAAAAGGAGTTCGCAAAATGCCTTACCTGTTTCCCATCCAAAGTATACAGCTTTTTGACCACTCCTGTCTCCAGTTTTATAGCTTCAGTGATATCAGTAAGAACTTGCTCAAACGAGTGTGCAGTCTTCTTATTCAAGAGCACACGAACAGCCTTTCGGGGTTTCACCCCACTACGGATGATGGTCACCAACTTGGGCCGCACAAAATCCTTGTTCTCCTTTGCCTGAGCACTATTGCTGCTGGCCAGAGACTGAGGTGCTTTCTGGTTGGCTGATGTCTTCACATTGACGGACCAATTGGGGTTCACATTCTTGGTATACTCCACCTTCTTGAAAAAGTTGTCAGATGAACAGACGTAACTTTCCCCTATTGAAAAAAGAAAATGAAGACAGAGGTTATTATACCAATATATGATGCTGATGCTGGAAAACAGAATGGTTTCTCAGTCTTTCCCCCAACATTTTCTTTCCATTTTTCATAGAAACGTCATTTTTTGTTATTTGATTAGGTCTCCTAAGTCTTTGTTACTGCAATATCATAGTGATAACAACACAGCTAAAAGCAAGCATTTCCCCTAAACAAGGGCATATGAACTACCCACAGCCAATACACAACCCTTAAACTAAACAGAAACTGGAGGATTAAAACCAACAGACCAAAGGCCAGGATTTCAAAGGTTTATCTACCTCAACAAGCAGATGAGGCATCTAGTGTGATCTGAAAATGCACTGAAAGGACCCAGGTATCTACTTGTGCTTAGTAGCCAGGCTAGGAGGTCACATTCCTGCTCCACAAACCTCTGAATTAAAACCCAGCTGTTCAGAATTAGTTTCAGCCTTTTTTTTGTGTTTTGCAGTCATATCTATGGACTCCTGTCTGCCTGCCTGGGCTTTCACATCATGCTCATCACCATTTCAGCTGCCATGGAAACATGTGAACATATACAGCTGTATGGATTTATTTTTTGAGGGAATCTGAAGGACCCTAGAGATTTATTACTGAGGGGATAGACTGTAAAATAGTCTCCTCAGGGAAGTGATAGGAGCCCAACCATCTGAGTCAGTTCAGGCTGACAATGTAAGACAAAGCAGTGCGCTAAAAGAAAAATGTGCAGTGTTTGGGCTGAAGGATAAAATGAGCTCATAAATTTTTCTCCCTCTATATAGTTGTTATGATTTTTTACAGAAATTAAAAGCCTATGCAGGAGTCTGGAAAGTTTAATGGATTTTTAAGATGATCTTGCAGCCCTTTATAGTACATTTCTTCTCTGTCTCTGTTTCTAACCTAGCCTAACATTATGGTTTGAATTATTTCAGGTGAGAGACCATAGTGGGGAACTTGTTGCATATTCTTGCATGTTTTCTACTGGGGACTCAAATGCAATTCACCCTGACATCCACCTTCTATAAAAATGCTCCTGGCCTAACCCTCCACTGCTGGGGACTGCAGATCAGCATTTAATCCTTGTGCATACACAAATGTCAAATGCTACCAAATCAGAAATCTCCACTCACTTGCACCAGGGTAGTTTGTTTGCACATTGGTTCTGTTTCCTTTACACAGCCGTCATAACAGCTGTGTAAGCCAAAGTACATGTCAGAAGAAGAATCAAGCCCTTGGTGTCCTCGTGACTGCATGGGAAACTAATGGAGGCAGTGAGGAGCTTCCTTCATGTGACATATGGCACAGCATTGATAGGTTTATAATACAAGATTATAGGCTTACAGCGAATATGTGTTTAGCGTTTACGTCTTTATTACTGCTCAGAGTTTGGCATCAGGATAAGAAAGCAATAGAAAAAATATCCCATATAAATTTTCCTCTGTTCTTCCTGGAATGAAGAATGCTTACATTTCTTTTTAGATGCTTAGCTCCGGGAGCACAGGCGCTTTGTATTCAAATGGGCTGCAAGGCATGTGCATTCACGGTGCTACACAATGATATGCAAATAGTCAAGCTGAGAGGAATTAACCATGTATGAACAGGAACTGGGAGCTGATGACAAAATGTCCCGCAAGAAAGTGAGATACAAGAGGTGAAAGAGTGGCAAGAAACTTGGGATGATTAATATTTTTAACTAAACTCAGGTACCAACTAAATTGACAGCAAGGCTGTAATTTCATTACAGGACACAGATGAACCGTATACATCTCAGTTTGTGACATTTCTGTTGCCAGCAGGTTCCCACCATAACATTTTAGGCATATTGCCTATAGCTGAAGCATCATAATTCCTCATGCATCTAGAATTGTACTAAGTAGAAGTATAAGGATATCCAACAGGGCTTTGTCCATTATAAAGAATTCCCATTGGAGATCTTGATCATCTTTCAGTGGCACCTAATCCTTTAAGTCTTTCAGATTAATAAATGATAAACTGCTGCTTATTAATGTGCTTCAGCAGAGCAGCATCTGGTATACAGGAGGGGCCCTGCTTTTATCCAGGTCCACAAACAGCTTCTGAGACTGAAGCACAGGGAGAAGAGCTTGACTCGCTCAGTGAGAGCCAAGCCCCCCTCGAAACCCAGAGCCCTTCTAGGCCCATCATCCTTGGCTGGCATGGGGCTCCCCACACACGCACGTCCCCAAGGAAGGATGATGTTACTTTTAAGGACAAGACGGGGAATCCCATGATTGGGGTGTTATTTCCAATTCTGCCATAGGCCTCCTTGGAGTCACTTAACTAATCTATGCCTTGGTTACTACCATGAAATAAAGACAGTAATAGCTCTCACCTTCATTAAGGTTTACATAACACTTTAGAAAGCTTGGATAGAAAATGCCACGGACGAGCGAAGTATATATGTGTTCAGCGTTCTATAAACACGCAAGGCCTTACAAAGAATATTTTCCACTAATAAAATTAACATTTTAAAATAAATGGCAGAGGTTCCTGTGCCCTTTTGTGGAGTGCTATTACAGGCTGCTCCAGCAGAAACCGCTGGCGTTCCTCTGTGCTGTGCAGATCTCTAGCATATAGATAACACTATTCCAGTGGAGTGAAGGCAATATTCCCTTTCTCGCAGGAAATAGTGGGTCTGAGAAGTCCAATAGTTTCAGATGCAGGCGTTTCAACTCGGGCTTGTGGTCACAACGTTCTTTTTAAACCCAATCCTTAATGAACACTTGGTTCACATCACAAACCCAGTATGAATTTTGCTACGATTCGCGGCTGGCTCTCTGGAATCCAGAACAGAAGCAGAAATGGTGCAGAGAAAAACTGAGCTAGGACAATAGATCTACATGGAAAATAAAGATCCCTTCTCTTTCCTGAGCCACAAAGCACGTGGGTTTTTCTTTAAATCTCAACTTCAGTTTATCTACATTCTAACCCTCAGCTATTTGGCGGCCCCCGATTTCAAATATATCACATGTATTATGTTCCTCACAGGGAAGATTCCCTTTTAAATTCTTCTTTCCCCTTTCATGTGCCAGTTGGAGGCATTTTTGTAATATTCTATTACCTCTCAGCCTAAGGCTCTATTTATTAATTAGATGTATTATTTGATATCAAACAACACCACCAGCGATCCTAGTGATAGCACAGTGAACGGGCACCCTGAGCATTAGGAAGCTTCCAACACCAAAGGATTTCCAAGGACAGACAGTGGGGAAATGAGGGCCGTGGATATTTCTCTACCCATGTGTCTCTCTCACCTAAGCAGTTAATGGGAGGTCAAGGTTTATGACTTCTCCCGTCATGGAGAAATATAACGGCCATAACCACAGCATTGCGTGATTGAGGACGTGCGTGATACATCAGACTGAATGCGGGAAAAGGGCACAGAGCGGTTGCTGAAAGCCAAAACAGCCAAGCAGAGAAGCCTCTTGCCCCAAACGCTGCACTCCTACAAAAATCTGCTCATACACTTAGCTCAAAGTCAGATTGATATGAATATTCCCATGCATAAGTCATTAAGCTGCTGAGCACATGTTCAGTAAGACAGCAAGAGTGCACTTCTATTCAGATATAAGGAGCAGCCATTTTGTTGCATTCACCAGGCACAATCCAAATGGAAGCTTCACAGCACAAAGACCTGTCCTCCCCACCTCAAAACAAAATCTCACGTGCACAGTACTGTGGGTTTGGGGTTTTAAAGCAATAAAGTAACATGCCATTAACAAAAAGTTCTTGCTGATGTGGTACCAAGCCAATGGGGATTTTTTTGTAACATCGTGGAGCCAGACAGCTACAGGAGTATCTTCTATCATGATGCCAGAATAGTGAAAGCAAAGCCCATCTGTGTTACAACGCCAACACACTGCAGCTGCTTATCATGAGCTCTTCATATGATGCCTAAATGCTACAGAAGTGCATTATCAAGGCACCAAATTAGTCCGGACATACGTTTCTTTATCATAGCACAGGTAAGAATTTGGTTCAAAGTCATGTCAAAATTACTATACTTTATGTTAGAAGCTAAGCTTCCTGTTGAATTTAATAACTCCACTATGACTTTAAATTAACTGCTGCTTTTATTATATCTAATTACTTTCTCATGACGCTCTGTAAAGATGCAGAGTGATTATGCAGCTACTAAATAAAACACATCTTCTCTACAAACGTATATATACACACACTTTTTTAAAAGAGTGCTAAGCTAAAGTGGAGAGCTTTCAACTATTCTCTTTCACAGTAAACCTTAAACCCACCTTTGTGATCTCCCTTCCTCCGTAGCTAAACATTTTTAAAAATGGAGGAACCTTTTTTCAGGTTCTTAGTTTGCAAATTTGCCTAAGTGTATAAATTTTGCATGACAACCTTGCAGGCAAGAGTGGATAAGGTGGACTGAGGCAATTTTGCCAATTTAGCTGCCAAAGTTTATTTTGCTAAAGAGTCTCCTGTGGGTTAGGACTGGCACTGCTGCTTCTCCGTTCTGCTGTCTTCAGTTCCTGCATTTTACATTGTGCCCGACTTCAGTTGTGTGGAATTGTGACCCCAGCCTTAGCACCTTGCCTTCTGCAGGACTGGGCTTTCAATTTCTGTCCCTGAACCCTAGGGCATCCTACTCCCTGAACATGGTTTCCCCTCTTCTCTGACGCTTTCTTCAGCCCTTTAGATATTTGTTCAGCGCAGCTTTTTGAAGTTAGAAGTTGAAGGTGTTTCTGTTTTCTAAGTTCTTCTACAAGCAAGTAGACAAATAATCCAATGGAAACTGGCAGGATAATTCACGTGGGCAGAAAGTAACTACCCAACCTCGATTTGGATCATGGCACTAGTCATATGCAGTAGTGCAACAGGTTACCAGGAGCTCCTCTAACTAATGCAATAAAATTTAGTAGTAGAGTCAATAAGGCTAGGGACAGAAGTTACACAAACTGGTTTAAGCAATCAGAAACTGGTTTAAACCTGTAACAGAACAGAAG